TGATCGAACCTATGCTAGTAAGGTTCTGTATCATTCCATTTATATTTACAACATTGTTTCCTTAGCTGAATGGGGTTCTCCTTATCAATTTCGAGATTTACCTGGTCACTCTATTCAATACAGTTACCATGATTACATTGATGCTTGGTTCAAGGTCTTCTTGTACCAAAATGAAACCTTCAGTCACTCCTGGTTCATTCAATTTGATCAAAAGTTAAAATCAGAATTACCTTCTTGGTTTCTGAGATGGTGGACTCGTTATGGCGCCATTTCAGATATCTTCCCTGATATTCTGATAGAACAAATCAACTATTTTGCTACTGTTTTCCCATTTACACCTCAGCAAAGGAAATTTCCTTTATTGCTTATTTTTATATCCAAATATAAAATCCCTTGGATATTCGAATGGCACTATGGAATTTCTGATGATATAATTATCTGGCAACACTCTGTTAGATGGTGGGATAAGTTCACAGTGCATCGCATTGTTAAAATTGTCCAAGCTGAATTCCCATCTGATCAACTTGCTCCAACTCCTGCAATGGTTAAAGCTCAACAGATCCCAACTACTGCAATCACTCAAGGAAGTCCCAGTCTTCCTCCAATCAACCTTGGAAGCCCCTCATCTAGTGGTTCCAAGCCCAAATCATCCAAGTCAAAATTTGCATCCTCAACTGATAAATCCAAGTCCAAGGCTAAGTCCAAAGCTCCTGCAGTATCGACTCAGCCCAAGATTCAATCAAAGCCCAAATCAGATAAATCAGAGGCTGCTCCATCTAAGCCCAAGGTTAAACCTGGATCAGCCAGTGATCAACTCCTGCAGATGGCCCGTCTCCTAATGGATCAGGCCCAAGCCCAATTAAACGATGAACCGTCTAATGATGAACCTCCTGCACCGGCCAAATAGTCCAGTTCAGCAGAAAGTTCAGACAGTTCACAAGGATCAACTAATCAAGACCCTTATGGACCAGAGTTTCAAAATGCTCAGGATCCATTTGATTTATAATCAACATTGGATTCTATATAGATACAAATTAGCTTCAATCAATACTCTTTTAAGAAAAGCTGTCAATTTGTATTTATATTGATTCCCTCAATCACATGCTCTGTCGAAAGTAATGAATAGTAAAAGATACTGTTCACTTTTACTATTCATCAATCAACTTTTGCTAAAGCTGCATCAACTGTTCAATCAATCAGCCGAAAGCAACCGACAGCCTGCTCAGTCTCCAATGCTGCCAACTGCCTTCACTCAATCAACCCAATCACATGCTGCATAGTTAATTTTCTTTTCTATATATTGTAATCAAATGTATTCATTCAGCATTCTTCGTTTTAGAAAAAACCTGAGAGTTCTGAGTGAGAATCAACACCTCGTGTACCCTGTTAAAGATCCTTGCATTTGCAACAATTGTAATTGTAAGTTACTTTCAGTATTTGTAATTAAATTAAATGGTTTAATTATAATTTTGTGTTCATATTATTCCAACTCTGTTTCTGTTATTGATAAGTTAACCGAGTGAGTCTCGGCATGAGCATACCCTCTTGCAAATCTGAAAAGTCCACTCCCTCCGACCACCGGCAACTCTCTCACCGTCGAAAGCACAGTGTTTCGACCCAAAATACTAAGATTGCTTCCATTGTACTTCCCTTCTGTGAAAGCAAAGTTAAGAACCATCAAGAAACCTAACTCATTCAGTGATGCAGAGGCATAGATTCCCTGTGCTCTTCCCACTTGTTTGGAGCTCAGTTCAGGCTTTATTGTCAACGGGTCGTCCATCATGACCACGGCTCCGAAAAAGGTTGGGGATTTGTTTGTCATAGGAGCCTCTGCAACTCGGATTGCGGTTGCGTTTTTGCCGGAGACGATGTCGTGGAAGTAGAAGTGGAGGTGGCTGAGCTTTTCTTTTTTGAGCCCTAGTTTTTTCTGGGAGAGGTTTCTTGAGAGTTCTTGAGCTTTTGTCGCTATGAGGAGGGAGAAGAAGAAGATGGTGAAGCTGGTGGAGGTGACGTTTGGGATGGCTTTGGCCATGGTGGGGAAATAAAGGGTGGTAAGGTTTTCAAGGAAGAAAAGAGGTGGAGGACCAAATGGAATTGGGTGTTGCTTTATAGTGAAATTTATCAATCAACCATTTAACAAGGGCATCCCAAAAAAAATGTATATATATTTAAAAAAGAAAAAATTGCCAGTAAATTCAAGTTGAGGAGTGTGTTAAACATTAAATCAAAAAATTAATCTTATTTATTAAGAATGACACGTTGAAAAGTAGTCAAAAATGAGGCAATGGATGGCAGTGAAGTGTGACAAATAAGTGTAAAAAATGAGGCAATGGATGGCAATGTAGTGCGGCAAATAAGTGATATTAAACAGATAAATTAATAGATAAAAGTGACAAGTATACAAATAGTGTGACATTTGAATACATAGTTGCACAAATATGTGATACGTATACAAATAATGAAATATTTAAACAAATAAATAATATTTGACCAAATAGACAAGTTAATAAATTTTGAACAGAGAGATTGTTTTTTAGACAAATAATATTCTTTTAGCGTAAAAAAAATTTAAACTTGGCCTATTGACTCAAGAGTTCCAGGAACCTCTCACATGAGTGTTTTTTAAATAAATATTTAAAAATTAAATAGTTAAAATTTATTTTAAATATAAGTCTCATTTTATAGAATTAAATCTAAATCCTACACAAAAATTCTAAGTGACTTCTTGACATTTTCTGGTGTTCTAGCTTTATTGTTAACCAATTGGGTTCTAGATGGTCAGATCCATAACCCTCCCAACAAGTTAGAAGTCTTTGGTCAGACGACCTAAAAGTTATTGGTTCGATCATTAACGGTATGGTTTAAAATTCTATTTTGCATTGTTGATTGAGAGAACATAGGACTTTTAAGTATGTTAATTACATACTATATATGAAACAAAAAAATTACATGTAGTTGGAGATTAATCAGAACGAAATCACACACTTCCATGAAAAAAATAAATAAATAAATTTACAGACACACATGAGAAAGGAAAAGTTTTATAAATTTTTTTAATTTGTACAATATTATTCAATTTTATAGAATATTTTGGAATGTAAGTTAAAAGTTGATTTTTTTGACTTTCTTTTTAAAAAAACATATAAAAATGTTGAGAAGAGATTTAACTTAAAAAAGTTAAAAAATTAACTTTTAACCTACTTACTAAAATGTGATATGTCTTTAGGATATTGGTTTGGTAAATCCTACATTTCAATTATTATTATTATTATTATTATTATTTAAAACATTGGTGGGAGAGAATCAAAATTGTGACCTCCCAAGGAGGAACACACATTTTGGCAACTGTATAAGCCATTTAGCTTTCATGTTTTTGTACATCAATAATAACAAATCAAACAATATCTAGTACTCAAATTTAATGATTGAAGCATTACTGTCACCAAATATACAAAATGTGTCACTCAAATTTGTAGCAATAATAATTTGTATAATTTTTGGCGAAATCAATTTTTGAGTATGGACTACGGTCAAGTTTGGCGTGAATTACAAGCACAAATTATGAAATAAGAGAGGTTCCAAAGAGAATAGCCATATGCTCCTTAAAATATAAAGTTTGGTCTATTCTCTATTCTCTCTCTTTTCTTTTTCATTTTTTCTTTTTTTTTCCCTTTGAAAATTCAAGCTTTGCATGGAAAACATGTATGTATAGGGCCCAATTGGAAATTTGGCTATTTTAATTGTCTTTTACACTTTTTGATTATTTTAACCTTGTTAAAAAGTTGTATTTGGAAAGTTGATTTTTTTTTTTAATTTTTATAGTTAATTTGATAGTTTTTAAAAAAAAATGAAATAATTATGATTTAAATATGTCGTTTTGTCTTATTAATTATTTTAATTTATTTTATCTTTATTGATTATTTTAACTAAAAAAATTATTGCCAAACATGAGCTTAAGGTTAGGTGACATGAATTTGAGTGTAGCCGATCTTTGACAGTAAGATTTTATATAAAAATGATTAAGAAAAAAAAAAAGAGAGAGAGAGAGAGAGTGAAATTAGGTTATGTTTGATTTGATTTTCAAAAAGTAGCATTAGAAACTTTTTCCAAAAATTTAAAAATTAAATTGGTGAAATAAATAAAAATAATGAAAAACACTTATCATTTTTATATAATTTTATTTTTTGGGAGGACAAAAATAATTTTTTAAATTTTAAAATAATATTTTTATATTTCTTTTTATCAAATTAGTTTCCATTTTTTCAAAAAAAAAATCTAAAACACAAACCAAACAAGGCCTGGGCCTTTTAATTTTATTTTATTTTTTGTTATTTCTTATATATTTTCAACAATAATAAGTTAAAAAATGACATTTTCCATTGTTCTGATTTAGCAGATAATTTGGAACTCATTCATCAGTTTTTTGCATACCCCCAAAAAAAAAAAAAAAAAAATATCATTTTGTAGATTGCTTAGAAGAATCCTCCGGTTCTTGTTTTGATCCCGACATAGCTGCAGTTGCTGCCGCTGTCATGGCAGCTGCTGCTGCCCCCAACTTGACACCACTGGCAGCTTTCATGGCGCCAGCAATTTTTGCAAATGCAGCAACACCTCCTACAAGTAGAGCCCTCAGGGCTACTGTTGGTTTTATTGTCATATCTTACAGTACCTGCAATCCCGAGTACTACATCAGAAGAAAAATATGTATATATTCACGATGCTAATAATAACAAACAAATGTCGGGTCATGATAGATTGGTTAGAAAATCCAAGGAAATTAGCAATCTCTAGATTTATTTTCAAAGAGAAAAGGAAAAAGTTTGTGCTTAAGTAATGCCTCTATACCTAAGCTTAAAAGAGCAGCACAATCTTGCCTAGTAGCAATTTTATTCATCAATCTCCAAAGAGTGAATAAATTTATCATTATAATCAACCTCATCAGAACAGAGGTTATCAATTTTCTGAAATGTAAATTGGTGAGTTCGTTGGAAAAAAAAAAAAAGAAAAAAAAAGGGGGGTTTCTCAATACTGATTAACCTTGTCAAAGATGTCACAGCATTGAATTAACCTTGACATGCTCAAACTTCGCAACCTCCCTGATGTCACCTTTTCTGTAACAGGTCATTTTATTTATAGTATATAAAATTAAGGCTCTATTTAGATCATGAATTTGAATAGGGATTTGAAAAAGAAAAGGAAAAAGGTGCGTGAAATGTTAATGAAATATAAACTAATTTTTTCATCATTTCCCTTTCCTTTTCAAATCCTTTATCCAAATCCATGACCCAAACATAACCTAAATGAACTCCTCTACAAGATGGTACATTATGCTTCTTTGCTCATCGTGATAAATTGTTCCAAAACCTTGGCCTTACAGCTTCATTAATCCATGAGTTTCTTTTTATTTTGATCTTGATTTTATCTTTGGTGAAGAAGGGGAAGAGAGTATTGAGGGGTGGATAGAACAGATAAGTACAAAAGTTTCCTGCTAGCCATCAATTGAACTACATCAGAACATCCACACTATGCCCAAAACCGTGGCCTCACAGCTTTGGCTTAGTTGCCTCCATCTTATTTCCACGTCTTCTAGAACTCTTTACCTCCACCACAAAGCCTTAAAAGATAAAACTTAACCAATTACTAAAAAAGTCAACAACACCAAATATGAAACATCAGTATTGACTCCATGACGATCCACCAAAGATATATTGATTAAATTGGCATAAGTTTCACCCAATGCAGAAAGCCAGGATGCGCGTTATCCACTAAACAAACAGTCCACCTTAACAATCACTTCAACATCTAAAAAAACGTAAGTGTGTTTGGTTTTAATTTTTTAAATTCAATTTTCTAGAAATTGAGTCTTTCGTTTTTTGTGTTTTTTGTGTTTTTACTGAATATTTTTAAAATTTTAAGCAATTTTTTTACTTTTTTAGATGCACTTTACTTAAATATATCAAAACAGTAAAATATTTGTGAAAAAATATTTTAAAAAATTAATAAATACACAAATATATGAAAAATAACTGCATTTTCATTTTATTTTATTTTATTTTATTTGTATTTTTGGTATTTAGTGAATTTTTTAAAGATTTTTTTCACAAAAATTATACTTTTTAAGTGTATTTATGTTAGGTATGTCTAAAAATTAAAAAAATTTGCTTAAAATATTAAAAAAAATCAGTGAAAACAAAAAAAATACAGAGAATAAAAAAGTAAAATTTTCTGAAAAGTGAATTCTGAAAACCAAAACCAAGCAGATGGTCGCAATCCAACTCTAACTTCTCTAGCAAAATTCATTGCAAAAAGTATAGCAATCAGATACCGATAGGGGTGCAACTCGGGCGGGTTCGGTCGGGTTGGGGGTCTGCCCAAGCCCGACCCGAATTGTATTTGGCACTGCCCAAGCCCGACCATGAACCCGAACATGGTTGCCCAAGCCCGGCCCAAGCT